ATCAATCAATCAATCAATCTTTCTTTCACTGACACACTCAATCAATCAATCCACCCATCAATCCATCAATCAATCAATCAATCCATCCATCCATCCATCCATCCATCAATCAATCAATCAATCTTTCTTTCACTGACACACTCAATCAATCAATCCACCCATCAATCCATCAATCAATCAATCAATCCATCCATCCATCCATCCATCCATCAATCAATCAATCAATCTTTCTTTCACTGACACACTCAATCAATCAATCAATCAAAAAAACCAGTAAAACAAACAAACAACCAAAAACACAACTAATCAATCAATCAATTTATAATCGACTTGTCAATCAGKCAAAGAATCCATCAGTCAGTTGATTTATTAGTCATGTAAGACAGCCAGTCAACATTCCGTTTATCATAAATATATATCATTCAAATCAATTAAATGTGTCAATCAATCAAGCAGTCAATCAATATATCGAATCAATTAATCTATAATAGTAATAATTATCCGATTATTTATTACAATTACACTAAAACATTAGAAATGCTATATAATTTTTATGAGCTCTTGAACAAGTTACATTAAGATATCATATCATTTTGATCTGATGTGAAACGCGCTAAAACATCCAACCACAATACCAATATGTAATCATGTCGATTTATATTTCGTCTACACTCTAATAGAGTCAAGCTGTGATTTCCAACAGACTGATACAATGATCATCACGTAGCTCTCTCTCATCGTCAGGTGTTATTTGGTCTTATTTCCTATTCAAAAGATTTTTCAAAAGTTCAAGATGGTACGCGAGTTGTGGGGGATCTCTYTTTCAGAGGAATTATTTATATTACTCCAGCCTGTACTCTATTGAAAGCTTTTGTGCACTATTAATTTTTTTCGTGAAGAATTAACGCTGTAGTTYTTTTCCCCGACTTAGTTAAGAAATTGGACCTAAACTCCTGCAGAGACAAAACWAAATTACAAAAAAGTACGAGAAATGATACCTAACTGCCATTTTGATGACTAAGGCATGTGAAATGATTATCAGATATCCTAAAAGACCTAAAAGTCTTTTTCGGCTATTTGCAGCGGTCAGTTCATTACCGCTAGACAGCAAAAGTGCAGGCTCATAATACGAGATTATGTTGTTACGTTGGCAGACCAAGAAGAATGATTATTGGTTTCGAAGCGCGATTTCTAGATAACATGTATGTTAAACGCACGCGTGACAACAACAGCAA